AAAAAAAAAATAATATATATATATAATATAGTTAACTACACAAATGAAACCACTCCTAATGTTGCACATTTGTTTTACTAGCAAACTTTTACACAAATAAGCCTGGTTCTAGTAATTAAAATTTAAACAATTAGACAATCTTGGTTCCCCAATCTTTATGAAACTTAATAGGTTTCACAAACTTTATAAGTTTCATAAATAAGCTACTGCAAATCAAAGAAGTGAATACTATTGAAACAGTTAATTTTGTCACAGTTTATGAATGCATGATGCCTACAAGATCACAGTCCCTTCAAATTACACATAGTTGTTAACAATGCCTATCCTCATACAGGCTTATCCACATACTTGCAAACCAATCAGTTTTAGCAATATCTATGCTTTAAAATACTCAACTCTAAAAAAAAAGTACCTACATCCTGTCAAACTATACCCTCTAAAACACCTACAGCTATCCCTTTCCTTACTGCAACTTCATAATTGAAGAAAAGCCTACAACAATATTTATAGAAGCATGCTTTGTTCATTGAATGGCTGCTTCAAAAATTTTAATTTCCTTTCCTGTGCAGATGTGCACAAAACTTGGCACACAAAGTTCAGCCTCCTAAACACAAAATTAATAAATTATGCACCACCTGACAGTTAGATTGTAGTGCTGGACAAAATGTAGGAAACATCTTTCTTGGTTAGTTTGTTGTAAAGCACATCCTGACATCTGACAAATAGGCAATACCCAAAGCAAAATTACATCTGCACAGACCACAGAGTAGAATAGTGAAGGACATTTGCCATTTAAATAAGCAAGTTTTCCAAATTTGTGCAATTTCAGGTTTGTGTTACCAATGCAACCAGTTATGAGCCAAACTGTATTATTCCAATATATCTTTGTCATTGCATTATGTAGCTGAGCTGTCTACCAGTTAAATAGCTACAAATAACAAGAAAATAAAAATATTTCACCTCTTCAGAATGGTATATGCTAAAAAATCATTTTTGCTTACTCAAGAAAAAATAGTATTATTGTAATTTCTTACTTGGTGAGAATTCAAGACTAACAAATAACAATGAACAAATCTTCCTACACTATTTAAATCAGCTGATAAATGAGGCTTTAAAAACAACTGAAAAAGACAGTATAGGGCAGTGAAGTGCAAGATTCTCTGAAATATTCTATTGTACCTCAGAGTAGAACCCACAGGACTTTGGTTTTTCCATGTAACAAGTTTCCAGTAACTCTTACTTCATATTTTGTTTAATCTGAATGCTGTACCTTTTTCCTATGCACTTTGAATGCAGAAGGCTTCCATCTAGCACAGCTGCAGCTCCCCACTTCCAACAGAGCACAATGAAACCCCCCGTCCCTCTCTTCCCAGATGACAGACATCCCAAGCTCATCTCTCAAGCTAGCTCCAAAAGCTTCCCACAGCTTCCTCTGCATGATATCAGATTTCAATTTCCTTACGGAAAATAAAAGCTTGTGACAAAGATGATCCTCATTATTGGCCATTCTATGTATCTCCCAGGGATGTGGGAAACTTACCAAAAAGCTGAGAAGGGTTCGTGTTAGTGGCTTTTTCGTAATTAGTAAGTCCTTCATAAATAACCTTCCCAACTGCAGCATAAAGGCACTCCAGCTCTTCATATTTTGAAGCTACACTTGAGGTACCTGCAGAGTTTAGAGAGTCGTGTTTACTTTTGGTACATTAGCCACAGAAGAGGCAAGGAACAGCTACACTGCGAACATACAGCCATCTATACCATCACCGGAACTTTATCTTGCTAATAAACCAAGGTAGCACAAATAGATCTCTCATTTATATAAACCTCTTTATTATACAACCCGTGTGTCTTCTGTAAGAGTGCACCACTACTTCTAAATGATTCATTTACATAAGAAGTCCTAGATTACCAATTTTTTTTAAGAAAATATTACCTAAATTAGTTTATATTAAGGCACGGCATATTACCTATTGTCTTTTTTTCTTTTTTTTTTTTTTACACTATCTTCCTTTCTTGTTTTAGCAAAACAGCAAAGCTTAACAACTAAAAAAAAAACTAATTGCACTTCTGAAGCTGAAAAATTGCAAAAATACATTAAATTTATAGCATGCATTTCTTGAACCAAAGTTATGACAGCCACAGCTTATTAAGTTTTTATGTCAAAGGATAATGATGTATTCCACATGATTACTTATTTCAGCTTTTGTTTTTTTAAGCAGAGGTTGAAAGTGCAAGCTAAAATGGACCATTAAATGCAGGAATCATAAAAGAGAATATTAGCACATTCCAAAGAGTGTCTTCACCCTGCCCTTCATCACTTAAGTTATGAAGCAATAAAGGATAAAAGGAGGAAGACAATACCACATACTTGGTTCTTTTTTTTTCCCATCAAGCGAGAAAGCAAACTGTGGACCGCCCTCAAAACTTTGGTGTTTCCGCAAGTCATACAGGCAGCTACACCTCGTTGCAGGGGTTTGAAGCTGCTCAGGATAGCAGGGGGCTGAAGTACAGTCAACAGGAAACTTAGGACCTCTAAGCCAGTGCAGATGTTGGCAAAGTTGGCCTGATTGGGTTGTTCCTAAAGAGAACACATACAAAAAGGCAGTGAGTGGGGGAAATCACACAAGCACTACACAGGTTAGTAAGACCAGATCAAACCTGTTGAAAACCTGCAATAAGGTTGAGGTTTCTACACTAGTGATGTTTCATATCAATCTTCTGGATAAATCATGCAATATACAACTGTAAAATACAAGGCACTGTAAAATCTCTACTCATAAAAATGTTATTTAAGCTTTTACAGTATGTTCGTTCTGGTGTTTTTTGTGGTCCTCAGTTTTGGAAGTTGCCTGCAACCTTGCTGGTTAGAAATGCTTTTGACAGAGGATGTTTTATCTCTTTGTCAACATCTCTCTGTTCCAGAAAGGGAGGGCAATGCTGGTCTGTATATAACATGCAGCTCTTCTTCAGCAGCCAGCACGTAGATACTCACAACTTTCTCTGTCTTCAGAGGAGAGGAATCACTCAAAGTCATGATTTTCTTGATGTTACTGCACAGCCTCCGTCACCTGGCACTTAAACAGCTTTGCAACTGTGTAAGTGAGGAAGATGAGTAGGAGGTAATCATTGTACAACAATGGTCAGAACTGACTGCAGTTCCTCCTGTTGTAGGCTATCAAATGCCATCAACAGGAAAAAAAAATATCATTTTAATGTCAATTTTCACTCAGGTTGCACACTACTTGGGAAAAGATGAGTAAAACAACAAATATTAGCTCCCTGGAACACTATCAACGCTTATAAACCCAAAACAAACAGAGCCACACCAAAAACTCTTCCAACAGGAGAGAAGGATGAAATTAGATGCTTGCCCATTCAAGGACCATCTCCATAAAAGTATAGCACACGTAGTTAAACAATTGGAAAAAATGGGCCACAGCAAGTTTTCATATAAACTTAAGACATTGTAAAGTTCACGAAAGTAGGATACATTACTCCTTTATTCAAAGAAACAGACATCAAGGGAGTTCCTAAAAATTTAACACGGTAAGATTGCTAGTGCTATTTAATAGTATGATACAAATAAAATAGGTGTAGAAAAACTTATTATACAGCAAAGAGCATATAAATAGCACACAGATGATAAGCAAAATATGTTGTATCATCAAATAAAGGAAGCTAGCCTTTTAGTGAATTTCATGTTACCATAACACAGTCAAAACCAATAAAAAAATCAATTTCAGGAACTAATAAAAAACTATTTCAATTTGCAAAACTTCCTACTCACAAAAAAAACCCCAACACACCGCCACCACTACCCCCAACCAGTAAGCCATCCAAACAAGCAAACTACAACTTATTTCAAAATCAAAATAATACAGGAAGTTACTCTACCTGCTTCTAAGTCTATTTTAATATTTGTAAGTACTGCACCTATAAAAACGATTACCACTGACGCAATTTTCATGCTTAACAATTTACAT